TAACACACAGCGACCCGCCTCGCGCACATGCCCACAGCCTGGTGGGCAAGCAGTGCTCAGAGCTGGGGGTCTGCGCTGTGTCTGTAGGACCCAAGGACATGACTGCTCAGTAGGTGCCCCCTTTCCCTGGCCCCCAGAGGGATGCTCACTGCCTGCCAGGCTTGGGTCTCAGCCCACCTGTGTGACTAGCACACAAAGGGGAGAAATTTACTTGGCCCCAGAGCCCCAGGGCTCAAGAATAAAGAACAGCTTCCTTGGAGAACAGGGCGGTGGTGGGGTGCCTCAGAAGGACAGAGCTGCATGGACAAAGCCCTCTGACTTCTCCTCCTCCTTCCTAGATTTAATAACCTGGGAGTCCTGCACGTAACCAAGAAGAACATGATGGAGATTATGATTCAGAAGCTTCAGCGGCAGCGGCTCCGTTCCAAGCCTCAGGGCCTTACAGGTATGGCAGCAAAGGGTTGTCAGAGAGGTGCTTCAGAAGAGCAGGGAAGAGGTGCCCAGAGCTCACGCCCAGGCTGTCCATCCAGAGGCCGAGAAACGGGAGCTAGAGCAGGAGGCCAAAGAGCTGAAGAAAGTCATGGATCTGAGCATTGTCCGACTGCGCTTCTCGGCCTTCCTTCGGGCCAGCGACGGCTCCTTCACCTTGCCCCTGAAGCCAGTGATCTCCCAGCCCATTCATGACAGCAGTGAGTATATTCTGCAGGGGTGCCCAGTGTGAGTTCCCAAAGGAGCCCTTGAGATGCCTCCAACCATTGGGCTTTCAACCGGGCCCTGCCATGTGTGAGATGGTGTTGAGCAAGGCTGGGTGTTGCTTCTGAGAGGCCGACTGAGAACACTGCATTTCCTGAATGGATCACCCAGCCTCATCCATGCCCCTCCCACCTGACAGAGTCTCCAGGGGCCTCCAACTTGAAGATTTCCCGAATGGACAAGACAGCAGGCTCTGTGCGGGGTGGAGACGAAGTTTATCTGCTTTGTGATAAGGTGCAGAAAGGTGAGGCAGGAGCCCTCTCCGGGAGTTGGCCACCCTGGCTGTAAGGCTTGGCGGCCAGGGCAGTTTGAGAGCAAATGTGCTGGGCCTGCAGATTCTGCAGTGGCTGAGCCCCGCTTGTCTCTGTAGATGACATTGAGGTTCGGTTCTATGAAGATGATGAGAACGGATGGCAAGCCTTTGGGGACTTCTCTCCCACAGACGTTCATAAACAGGTACTGAGGGACGAGGGCCTGACCTGGAGACCAAACTATGCAAAGGCCTCACTGACACGGTGTCTCTCTCCCCACCTCTGCCCCAGTATGCCATTGTGTTCCGGACACCGCCCTACCACAAGATGAAGATTGAGAGGCCTGTAACAGTGTTCCTGCAGCTGAAACGCAAGCGTGGCGGCGATGTCTCCGACTCCAAACAGTTCACCTATTACCCTCTGGTGGAAGGTGGGACCGGGCTTCAGGATTCCCAGGGATTGGATAGAGCAAGACAAGCCTGGAGACGGCGTAGAGGTGGCTGCTGAGAACTCTGGGGTCTGACCCTTGTATTGGGTTTTAACACCCTGGTTGTCTTTCCCCCTAGACAAGGAGGAAGTGCAGCGGAAGCGGAGGAAGGCCTTGCCCACCTTCTCCCAGCCCTTTGGGGGCGGGTCCCACATGGGTGGAGGTTCTGGAGGCTCTGCTGGGGGTTATGGAGGCGCTGGAGGAGGTGAGCGGGTGCCAGTGGCCGGCAGATGGGTGGAGGAGATAAGGGGAAGTGAGAAGAGAAATCTGGGAGAGTCCTGGCTGGCACCTTACAGCCTTCCTCGTACCCACAGGTGGCAGTCTCGGCTTTTTCCCCTCCTCCTTTGCCTACAGCCCCTACCAGTCCGGTGCAGCCCCAATGGGCTGCTACCCGGGTGGAGGGGGTGGGGCACAAATGGCCGGCTCTGGGCGTGGCTCGGATGCTGGGAAGGCAGCGGAGGAGCCTAGCTCAACCCCCAAAGGGTCCCAGGACGAACCGCAGGCCCTTGACACTCTGCAGCGAGGTATGTCTCAGGAACGCTGTGGGTCGGCGGGCGGGCTGGGGATCTGGCCCGCACCCACGTGCCCTGTCGCCCTCCCAGCTCGAGAGTACAACGCGCGCCTGTTCAGTCTGGCGCAGCGCAGCGCCCGAGCGTTGCTTGACTACGGAATCACCGCGGACGCGCGCGCTCTGTTGGCGGGACAGCGCCACCTGCTGACAGCGCAGGATGAGAACGGAGACACGTACGTGGCCAGAGGGCCTGTGGCCAGGGGACCGCCAGTAGCTGGGGTCTCCTGGTACCAGGTCTAGAGGTTGAGACCTTAGAGGAATCTGCAAAGAGCTGAACCCTAGAGTCGGACAGATCTGGTCCCAGATCCTCACTATTTTCTATTTGTGTTCAAACTATTTACTCTCCCCAACCTTCAATTTTGTTCATTGTGAAGGGGCTCAGTAGCAAGGTGTGACAAAGGATTAAGATGGTGACATTCAGGGATCACCAGGCCATAAGTGAAGGAGACCACGGAGGTGTGAAGTTTTGAGGGTGGATGATGCTGGGTTTCTGAAGCCAAAGTCTGGCTTTCCAACCCCCAGGCCGCTGCACCTGGCCATTATCCATGGGCAGACTGCTGTCATTGAACAGATAGGCCATATCATCTATCATGCCCAGTACCTCGGGGTCATCAACCTCACCAACCACCTGCACCAGGTAAGGGGGCAGCCTTTGGTCAGGGGTGAGGGGTTGAAGGCAGGGAGTCCTCAGCCGGGGTGGGCTTGCCTCACTCTCCTTCCTCCCGGCAGACACCCCTGCACCTAGCGGTAATCACCGGGCAGACAAGGGTGGTTAGCTTCCTGCTGCAGGTGGGTGCGGACCCCACGCTGCTGGATCGGCACGGAGACTCAGCTGTGCACCTGGCCCTCCGGGCAGGTGCTGAAGCCCCAGACCTGTTACGAGCACTGTTGCACAGTGGGGCCCACGCTGTACCCCAAATATTGCACATGCCTGATTTTGAGGGTAAGTGTCCAGTGTCCTCCGGTTCTGGGGACCAGTGATCCCCACCTTCGTGTCACTATGACGAGGAGACATGCATGGAGGTTGCCTGTCAGGGTTTGTCCAGAGGCCACCGTGGGATCAAGGCTACAGGCTGAACGTGCTATTTCTCTAGGACTATATCCAGTACACCTGGCAGTTCAGGCCCGAAGCCCCGAGTGCCTGGATCTGCTAGTTGACAGTGGGGCTGAAGTGGAGGCAGCCGAGAGGCAAGGGGGCCGGACACCCCTTCATCTAGCCACAGAGATGGAGGAGCTGGGGCTGGTCACCCATCTGGTCACCAAGGTGGGAATGAAGACTGTGGAAGGGCTGGGGCCAGGGGGATTGTGGGAATGATGAGGCGTGTGGGAAGGCTTGGGGGTTGGACCATGCTGCTCACCACTTGCACCCACAGCTCCATGCTAATGTGAATGCCCGGACCTTTGCTGGAAACACACCCCTCCACCTGGCAGCTGGACTTGGATCCCCAACCCTCACTCGCCTCCTCCTGAAGGCTGGTCAGTTTCAGGCTTAGTGATGCATGGGGCAGGAGAGAGAGGGGAGCCTCCCAGCCCCCACCGTTCAGTCCAGTGCGGGAGCCGCCACTAGTCTCGTGACTGCCTCCCTCCTCCAGGTGCTGACATCCATGCGGAGAATGAGGAGCCTCTGTGCCCACTGCCCTCACCCTCTACCTCTGGGAGCGACTCGGACTCTGAGGGGCCTGAGAGGGACACCCAAAGAAACTTCCGGGGCCATACCCCTCTTGACCTCACTTGCAGCACCAAGGTGAGGCCATTCTTGCAATAGAAGTACTGAGGTGGGCACGCGGTACCTTCCAGGCTTGGGGATGTGAGCCGGATCATGGGCTTCGGAGAGCGGGCAGGTCTGGGGTGACAGTGGACACTGTCTCCCCAGGTGAAGACTCTGCTGCTAAATGCTGCTCAGAACTCCATGGAGCCGCCCCTGACCCCACCCAGCCCTGCAGGTGAGGTTGTGGCAGACATTTCCGGTCTCATGCACCTCCTCCCAGAGGCGGTCTCCTTCGGGACTTGGGCGAGGGTTCCCCTTCGCTAGCCCCTCTTCCATCCGTGCCTCACGGACCTCTCCGCCTTGTCTGTCAGGTTAGCAGGGAGAAACGCCGTGTGCAGGTGTGTGCCCACACCCTAGCTAACTCGCAGATCCATGTCTGTCCCCTCAGGGCCAGGGCTGTCCCTGGGGGATGCAGCTTTGCAGAACCTGGAGCAGCTGCTGGATGGCCCAGAGGCCCAGGGCAGCTGGGCCGAACTGGCAGAGCGCCTGGGGCTGAGAAGCCTGGTGGACACATACAGGAAGACCCCCTCGCCCAGTGGCAGCCTCCTCCGTAGTTACAAGGTGGGAATAGCCTGAGCCCTGCCCAGAACCTAGAGCCCCCCCAAGACTCTGCCCCACACTGTAAACGTCACTCAGACCTCCTGTCTGTTTCTCGTCAGCTGGCTGGTGGGGACTTGGTGGGTCTGTTGGAAGCCTTGACCGACATGGGTCTGGATGAGGGGGTGAGATTGCTGAGAGGCCCTGAGACTGGAGACAAGCTGCCCGGCACAGGTAAAGGGACCAGCTTGGAAGGTGCGTCTGGGCTGAGGCTGGGAGGCCCGAGCTTGACATCCCCCTGTTCCCCAGCAGAGGTGAAAGAAGACAGTGCCTATGGGAGCCAGTCGGTGGAGCAGGAGGCGGAGAAGCTGTGCCCGCCCCCGGAGCCTCCGGGAGGGCTCTGCCACGGGCACCCCCAGCCTCAGGTGCACTGAGTGCTGCTCAACTAACTTCTTCCCCCTGGGTCCCTCTGTACAGCAGCCCTGCCTGCCTGAGATCGTATTTAACTCAAGCCACACCTCAGTGGGCCAAATAAAGGAATCCTGTGGGAGGGGAAGACCCCTCCCAACGCACGGTACGGCAACCCCAATGTGATGCCCATCCCTGTCCCTGAGGGAGGACAGGGGCCCGGCCGGCAATTCAGAGCAGTTTTAATAAGGGTGGAGGCTGTACACAGGGCAGGGCCCACAAAGGAGGGAAGCAGGCCGCGCCACCCCAGCCTCTAGATGGGCTTCAACACGGACACCATCCTCTACTCTGCAAAGAGAGAGGTGAGCCCTTGGGGAGAAGAAGGGGACCAGCTCATCCCCAACTCCTGGTCTCTGTCTGAGCCAGGCCCCAGGACGGAGGGGTATTGCTGGTGTCCGGGTGGGGTGGTCTCAGCAGAAAGCGGAAACTTTATCAGGCCTCCCCCACAAAATAAAGAAAAGAAAAGAAAACCCCCATCAAAAATTAGGGGCATGGGCCCCTCCCACCCTGCCCACCCTTCCTGTACGAAAAAGTGCAAAACATTATCACAAAAAGGGGGGTCTCTGAGAGGCCCTTAGCCTAGGCTCTGAGGCCCGGTTCAGCCCTGCCCTGCCCCGGACACCGCGTCCGGCGCGGTCGGGCCCTCGTGGGCGGCCCGAGGCCAGCTGAGCTCAGGCAGGGCCTTGTCGTCATGCAGGTGCCCAGCAGGCCCTGCCCCCAGTGCTCCTGCTCCCTGCTCAGGGCTTTGGCCTTGCATTGCCTGCCCCAGCCCGGGCGTCTGAGCCGTGTCGCTGCGCCCGGGGCTGGCTGGTGGGGTGGGGCTGCAGGGAGGGACTGGAGTGAGGCGGAGGGCATCCATCCTCCGTGTTCCCGGCCTGGGCCAGTGCTGCCTCTATGGCATCCAGCTCCTCGCTGGCTGCCTTCATCTTGACTCGAAGCAGCGCTGCATATGTGCCGTAGCGGGATTTCTGAGACAGAAGGCCAGGGGCAATGAAAAAACCTGCCCCTCCTCTGGCCCTTCCCACCCCACCAGCCGCTAAGAGATGCTGGGTCCTGAAAATCGTTTTTGAGAGGTTGGTGACCATCCCCGAGCTCTTAGAACTGCCTGTAATGACAGCTAACGTTTCTGTAGCCTTTACTAGGGCTGTAGACACTGAGCACAAATAGCCATGTCACCTGACTCCAGTGGGTGTGGAAGTTAGTCTTGATCCCCAGAGGAGAAAATGAAGACTCAGACCCCAGTCATCTAGCAGGGTTCCATGCTTGGATACTATTCCCTTCTCCCTAGCCTGGTCCTATGTGGGGGACACCAAGACGTCAGGCAAGGAGGCTCACCTCAAACTCCAGGTAGGCCTCCTTCTGCCGCTGCTCGTCAGCCTCCTTGCCTCGGGCCTTCTTGCCCAGATGTGCAGCCCGGTGCTCTCTCAACTCGCTTGCCATGGCCTTCAGCTTGGCCTCGTGGGTCCTCACCTGCTCCTCCTAACAGCCAGGGAAGCCTGGTCAGTGTCACTAGTCCACAGGCCCTTCGTGCGGATCCTACCAAGGGCCTGGGTTTCAAACACCGCCACAGCCCTCCTCCTGTGCCCCACAGAGGCCCGTACTGCATGACGTCTAATCGCTCGTGCAGCCTGGAGCGCGGCTTGGCATCCTACCCCATCCCCTCCCCGTCAGCAGGTGGACTGAGCGTTCCGGCTACCTGGGAGAGGCGGGTGGCAGCGCTGGGCAGTAGAGGGCGGCTGAATTTCTTCTGGGAGCTAACCGCGGCTGGGAAGGGGGGTGCGGAAAACATGGCGGCCACGACATTGATGCGCGTGATCCATGACTGCATCTGCTCCAGGCTCCTGGGGAGACAGCACATTTCCTGTTCCAGTTCCCATCTAGAAAGGGCAGTCCTCACCTGGACTGCGGCCTCCAGTACGTCAGGCTGAGCCCAAACTGGCTGGGCTGTTAAAGAGGACCTTGAATTTCTGATTTTTTTTTTTTTTTTTTTTTTTTTTTTTTTTGGGCCTCCACCTCCTACGTTCTGGGATTCTAGGTGTGCACCACCAGGTGGCATGTACAGGGCTGGGGATTGGACCCAGGGCCTTTGCATGCTATGAGCTGTGTCCCCAGTCCGTGGAGTGAGGTCTTACAAGGAGTCCAGGGAGCAGGGTGTGAGTGGGTCGGGGGAAAGCACTCACGGAGCCTGGAAGAGGAAGACCCGCCAGTCAGCTGTGCGCAAGTAGAAGACGTGTGGCCGCTTGCTGTAATCGCTGGCGCGGGTGGCCAGGGCATGGTGGATGCTGATGGCATTCTTCAGCTCTGCCTCAGAAAGAGCCTTCCCAGGCTGGTACTCCTCCTATGGGGGTGCCCATCTTGTCCTGCCCCGGTCCTGGCCTGGCCATCTCAGGCCACCTACTCCCCTCTGCAAAGCCAGCCCCGCCACCCCCTCCTGGCCCCGCACCTTCTGCAGGTAGAGGATCATGCCCTTGAGGATGCCGTGGAAGCTCTTCCAGCCCCGCTTGCCACGAGGTGCTGAGGAAGGAAGGCAGGTCAGGGTGGCGTGAGGGAGGCCCGCTCCCATCCGTCCCCCAGGTCCCAGCACAGCCACGTACTCTTCCTGCAGTCAGGGTCCGCGTGCACCTTTCGCACCAGGGCCCCGTGCTTGTAGACAGCGGCGCCAGGCTCGGGAGTCAGGTCCAGGAAAGGGCTGGAGCTGCTGCCACTGCCCCCGCTGACCCTCTTGATGACCTTGGGGTTCGGGTCGGCCAACTCAGACAGAGATCGTCTCAGCTCCTCCTCGTCTCTGCAGGCATGAGCGGGTCAGAGGGTGCTGGCCGCACAGCCACACGCACCTTCAAACCAAGTTTCTGCCCTAGAATGCCTCTGTGGTGGCTAGGAGCTGCCAGGAGTCCCACAACCCGAGGCTCTGCTGCTGTGTCTGAGGAGGGCTCCCCCAGGCTACAGGTCTGTGTCCTCTCTGACATGAGAGTTCCCTGGAGTAGGACCGCATGGGGCCTCCCCCCACACACACTATGGAAGCTTCCCATCGACTCCTTTGTGCACACAGCCAGTCCTCACACTTTTCTCCTGGACAGACACGTGTGTGACTCAGCGCTGTCCTAACCACACCTAACACCAGGCTCTGCTCACAGTTGTTGGTTACATATGGTGCCAAAAGGAAGAGATGAGCTGGGCCTGTGGATTGTGCCTGTTGGCAGGATTGCCACGGATCTAAGCCAGCCTGTCCTGAGATCCTGTCTCAAAAATCTACAAGTAAAGCCTTCCTTCCTAAGACCCCCTCCTCAACATCTTCCTTTGTAAATCCTGACAGAGATTCCTGCCAGATAGAAAACTCAGGTTCTCTCTTGTTGCCTTGTTCAAGAATTTTCCATTTTGATAGCCCCATTGCCTCCTACATGGAAGCTACTTTGCTTCTTTCCCGACGCTCTCCTTTCTAACCATCTCAGCCAGGCCTGTGGCCTTGAACCCCCACTTCCACACAGCTTTCAGCCACACCTTTGTTCCCTGTAATACCAGCTCCCCTTATCTCCTACAATGCACTTCCAGCTTCAAGGCTTGCCTCCAAAGAGCCTTTCCTAACCCCTTGCTCCCCTGGGCACTGATGCTGACTCTGGCTCAGCAGACAGCAGCAAGTACTGCATCCACTGGTGGCTGGGCAAGGGCTCTCTCAAGGGGCTGCAACGCCAACTGGACCTTCTCCAGACAGCTCTCCTTTAGAACTCTTCTGAGACAAACTTGCCTCCTTGTTCTGTGGCACTCTAAAGCAGCCTCTTGGGTCCCCAGAGCTAACCTGCTTCCCCCCGGCATCCAGGGGCCTCCTTTTATGTTTCAGCATACGTACCCACTACCTCAGCTTGTCATAACAACAGAGCTGGACACAAGACAGGCCCCGAGTCTAGGCAGGCATTTCCAAAGAAGGAAGTGAGGTAGCCTTCCTGCTGCTTAGGGCCTCCCACCCCTCCCTGTCCCCACTGCCCCAGCCTGGTGTCCTCAGGCTCCCCCTTCCTCATGCCCCAACCCTAACCATTACCAAACAGCCCCAGCACTCACATGGCCCACTGCAGTTTTTCATTCTTGATGGAGCTGTACAAGGCCTGGAGAGGAACAAACCAAGGGGTGTGGGTTAATCCTGTGCAGAGGCACGCCGTGCACCTCAGTGTCAGAGCTCAGGACCTGCTGACTTGGGAAAGGAAATGGAACTAAGAGAGGGACACGATGACCACAGTCCGGCTCTGGAACACAGCACCGAGACCCAGGCTCATCCCCATCACCGACACTGTCTGACCTGGGCAGGTTTCTATAAGGAGAGCAAGCCTAGCTACATGTGGGGGCAATTGGCTACTCAGCACAAGAACCCCTGGCCCAGGGCTGGTGCATAGTGACTGCCAGGTGCCATTACTGAGCAGGCTCTCCCACTCAGAGCCTGGTAGAAGCACAGCCCTAACTGGAATCTGAGAGACGGGCAAAGAAACCCTTCTTCCCCCCACCATGCGTTCCAGCCTGTTTCCACAGCATAAAACCACACAGAGCAAATGGGGAAACTGAGGCTCCACCATGGAGTATTCATCCTTTCATGCTCTTTGGTTCCCAAGTGCAGGACAAAGTGAGCCTCCCCCTAACTCCAACAGTACCCTCAGGCCAGATGCCACAGGGCTCAGTGCCCTCTACCCACAAGCCAGACTTCATGCTGCTGCGGCTTCCAATTACTGTCCACCCCAAACTGTGGGCCCTGAACCCGTCACTGCCCCTCTGTACAGTTGGCCTGGGGACAGCTGAGGACCATGCAGTGACAAAAGAGAACGGCCTTCAGGAGTGGCTACAAGACCCCCGTACTTGGGGATAGCTCAGAATATCCCAGCGACTCCAACTGTGGGGGCGCTTCTGCCAGCCTGTCTGTGAGTGGGTGTGTCCCCAGCATGTGCGTGTTTTGCTGTGGGGCTGTGATGCTGCCTGCGCGTGAGCTGGGTGCAGTGGTGACGTCGGCGCCTTCCCGGTGCTGGGACACAGCACCCCTCATTCTCCTACCACACCACACGCTCCGACGCTCCCTGCCCGTAGCCATGTCCAAACCACCAGACTATCCAGGTACTCCATGCCTGCACCCCAAAGCCTCCGCCCCGCACTACGCAAACCAAGCTGGCCAACGCACAGCTCCCAGGCCAAACCCGGAAGGGCGCAGACCCTGAATCCTCCCACTCTCCCATGATCCGGACAGCTGGAGTATCCATGGAGATCCGACCCGCAGCCCTGGTCTCCAGTCTTCCTTCACCTTGCCCTGCCTATAACCACACCTTCCTCTCAAGGTCCCGAACCCCCTCCTAGAACCCCACACACTGCTTCCATCTAGAAAGCCCTCGGCACTCACTGGTTGGTGAGGCAGGTCCACCTTGGCCCTCCCCCGCAGCCCATGTCCACCTCTGCTGCCCAGGAGCCCTGTCCCCGTGGAGCTCCCCAGACACCTTCGTCCCCACCCATGCCCTCTGGGCTTGCCCGCTCTCCTGCTCGCGGCGCCTCCCTCCTGCCACCCCCTCGCTCGCCGCCCAGCCCGGCGTGGGCCGCGGGCCCCACGCCCTCACCGCCTTTTTCTTCTTGCGGCTCTGCAGGCGGCTGACCACCAGGTCGGTGTAGAGCACCGGCTTGAGACTGCGCGAGCGCTGCGGCCAGCCGTAGCACAGGGTCTCGGCGCCGCGGTGGGTGCGCCCGTAGCGCACGGAGCAGAGCGAGCGCGAGCGCAGCCGGCCCGCGCTGCTGTGGATGCTGTTAACGCCGATCATGCTGGCCCGGCCGCCGCGCCGCGGCCCCCGGCCATGCCCCCGGCCGGCCCCGGCCCCGGCCCGCCCGGACGGCCGCGGAC